GTCAAAAAATCAATTCTCAAAATCCCTACCAAACGGGCCCTTGATTTTTATTATCCGTTTTTAATATTATACCCCTGTTTCTGGTTTTAATCCGGTCATGCATCTTTCTATTGAGTCCAAACTTCCTAGAAAGATGACAATGATTTTAATATGTATAGGTGTATCAAGAAGCCTTCTTGTACCATAACAACAATAAACCGGTCAGTAGTTGGCTCAGGTCCAATATGAGCTCCTGTGAAGAAAGAAATACTATTGTTTTTAGCTAGTGGAAGCATCATTGACATAAAATGTCAAAATAAAATTAAAAAGAAAATGAAATTAAAGTATCAATAAAAAAAAGAACTCAAGTAACCTGGATAGCTGCACTTGAGTAAGTGTTTTATAAATGTGGTTTTTCCAGTTGAGTACTGACCCAAAAGCATGACCATGGGCTTGGCATCAAAATCACTATTTGTCTTCAAATAAAATAATATGTCATTCCCACATTTGCAGTACCAATACATCCATAAACCCGAACAAAGTAGAATCAGTATGGTGCATTATAAACACGAATTGTTTTTAATCCACTCACCAATACAGGAGATCCAAAATCATTGAAACGGTAAGCAGTTTCCAATGGCTTTAGCTTTTCATTGTACAATATCTTTAATCCATCCGTCACTGAAGTAACAGGAACAAGAGAAGTAGGGTTCTGCATAAAAATGTTAAAAAGGATATATCAGGCAGTTTTTTTCCAGATCTATATATAAAGAATCAAAGAAGTTAAAGATTAGTGAATGTAAAAGTTTTCACTAGACAAACTATTTACATATCAATATAAACAAAGAACTACTGAAGACGTGATAAAGAGAATGAAAGAGCACCTTCTTTTTTGATTTTGTGCTATACATCATGGGAGGCATTGATAGTGATTGAGTAGATCCTGCTTTGATCAATGACAAAGTTATCTAACTGCTATCTTAAATCAAAGAATAGAAGTTACTGACCATTTGAGTAAGAATTGCCATTCATTGTTGCTCCTTTACTTTCCTGGATAAAATATACAAAGGTGTTCATCAACAGAGCTTAAGTTTTATGACAAAAACAAACAACAAAAAGGAGGATAGATGGCTACTTACAGCGAGTAAGGCATCCAAACCTTCCATTGATGGAAGACTCGGTGATTCAATGTCAGCTACACGAATGGAAGAATAAAATGAAATCCAAAAGTTGACAACTTTAGATATTGAGAAATGTTGAAAGCATAGAGACAATTATACAAGGCTAAAAATGCAAGTCTCTGGCCCCAATTTTGAGNTACCTAAAGTGTTCGAGAATTGGAATTGCTATATACTTGTTTCTTTACCTTCTTGAAAATATCAAACAATCCCAGGACTGTAATGGAATGAGGGTATAAAACTTGAACTAAAAGTCACCACTGTCCATTCATTGGACCTTTTCGAAGTTCTCTTGATTCCGTACCGACTTCTTTTGCAGCTATATCAAAGAAGGAAGTACAGTTAGTGTCATGGGGGTCGTCCAGCGTCATGATAATGTACTCATGATTGTTCCACCTGCAGAACCTGTTTCAACGGGCTGTCATTGGCCCTGTTGCCTTCTCCCAACCTACACAGAAGGCCTTATTTTGACATGTGACGAAACTCAGAATAATAGTGACGTGATTCCTGTATAGATTGTGAATTGCTTTGTAACTTTGGTTTGCTAGTCACAAGTACATAGTCGAGCATGATCTTGATCAAGATAACACATTCCACAGCACACTGCTATATACTTTCCAGAATCTTCAATTGTATATGAATGGTGGCCTAGAGGAAGAAAAGCTGAAGGCTTTTCACATGCTTAATCTGTATATGTTTCTCAGAGATCTAGAAGCGGGAGGAGTTGGCAGCACTTTCTTGTGCTAATTACTGAGCTTCTATGTTTCTACCATGTGTATAAATGTTGGAAGGGACCAATAATAATTATTTTGTGATGATGAATGTCAATCTGTTGTTACCTGAATATGTACCATTACTTGGTGAATTACAATAATTTCTTCAAATCGGAACCAGGGGGTGCTTATGCAAATGAATCAGAGGTAAATTCCGAAACACAGGCCTAGTTGAAGATAATAGTGCTTCTTGTTTCTTTTGATTCAAGTTCAATGTTAAGAAGGTTAATCTTTTGTATCTTTTCTTTTGCACTTCATCGTTCATTATTTGAGTAATGTTCTTTAAAACCAGTCAAGGTGAAAATTTATAAAATTAAACCACTATTTGACAACTTGGGAAATTAAGTTTTGAAATAATAATTTTTAGGAAAATGTACGGTTAGAAAGTAAACAAAAAATCTTGGATTTACATGACAAATATTTTATTTTGAGAATGCCTAATTAAAAAGAGTTTGAGAGAATTTTGTAAAAATGACTGTCAAACAAGGGCTAAATCCCACATTCAATTGAGACATATAGGCCTTACTAATGGTAGATATTTGTCAATTTTTTTTATCTAATCTGTTTCACATTTGTTCAATTTTTGAAGTAATTTAGGAGTTTGTGTTAATGAAGACAAAAGGAATACGAAGCTTTTTGGCTTCTGACCTGACTAAACTTGTGCATAATTTCACCCTAATATATTATGAGATGACAATCTCATATGTAAAAGCTAGAATTCTATGTATCACCCAATCTATTTGATACTGAACGGAAAGACAGGTGAAGAGAAATAACATACACTAATTTCCAACTCGAAACCGTGCATGACGTTAATGAAAAGAATCATGTTACAATAACATAATGGTTGACATAACGTCATATGACATCATATTATTGGATTGTTTAAAATACAGTCAACTTTTCTATCTAATCATATTTTGCCAACATTCATTCTGTTAAAGTATCTATCAACATTTTTTTTTATTTTTTTTGTCAAAGTAGCTTTATCCTAACAATGCCAGTTGTAAAAACAAAGAATTTCAATCCATTGAACGTAAGAAAAAGGGCATACAATCGTTCTTATCATGCACAAAATGGAAATGCTGCATACTTTCAAACTTCAAGCATTCTTGAAGAGAGAGCTATATTGTACCTCTTTCTAGTCGTACAGATTTCTAATATTTTTTAGAAGCTGCGGGATGTCGTGTCCCAGCATGTCATCAACAGCCTGAATCATTTTAGGCTTCAATTTCTCAAACTCCTCAATGTTATAACGACTCAGAACCTCCCTGAAGTTCTCCACACTTGGGAAGTCACCTGCTGGTAGATGATGTTCTCTCTGGACCTGTTACCCAGAATTTTTTTTTAAAAAAAATTAAATTTACAGCATTCAAGCAAAAAAGTACCTCTGGGTTGGTTTGTGCACGAGAGAGAGAGAGAGAGACCTTTGCAAATACATCTTCGAGATTATCCATAAGTCGCTTCTGAGTTTTGGATTTGCCCATAAAAGATGGCATTTCCCTTTTGAGATGGCTAATTATGTAGGCATGGATCTTGGCAGCTCTTGCACGTTTAACAAATTCATTGATCTGGAAACACATTTTTATGAGTGTCCTACATGTAAACACTACACTTCCAGCTAACAAATACTACGTGTACATCACCATATAAGAGATTTAGCATACCCGGCGATCACAAGCCTTCTTTGGAATGTCCATCAAATCTACAAGAAGGTCGTCTTGTTCTTTCTCAAAAAGATCCTTCCCTATAGGTCCAAGCACTGCTTCATTAACTGGCTTGTCATTAAATGATCTGAAAATCACAAAAAAGATAAAAATGTTTTGATTTCCAAACATACCAGTCAAAATAGATAAGGTGAACAAATATTAATTAGACCTAGACATCTCAAACCACTATTATATTAGAAGATAGTGGGGGAAAAAAAGAGTGTGAATGGATTAAAATACAAAGAAAACCAGTGGAATTCAACTGTAACTGATATGCGTCTTTTTTGAAAAGGCATAACAGGATTTCCTCATATTTCAGGAAATAGCTAAACAATGTTTTCATTATAGGGAAGAGAATAGTCATGGGGCTGTCACGAAACTATGATATTTAATGCTGAATTTAGTTACACTGAACTCCAAACATCCACATTTTCTTCAGTAAGTGTTGAATATTTATCTCCAATGAGAGTTTTAAGTTTATATGAATCAAGAAAGTCTGGATAAAAAAGAACCTACCCTATATAGACACGCGCTACCTCTGGAGTGTTCAAAACTTTTCCAAGCGACCACATTAGTGCACCATAAACTCTCATCAACTGGAACATGAAAAGAAGCAAAAAATAATATCGCGAGGAAAGAAAACTTATCAAGTAAAATACACTGCAAAGGTAAAACCAATTAATGGCCTTCCCCATTCAAATAATGATCTTACTTGTTGAGTATCAACTTGATCTGCCTTGTTTAAGACAACACGTATCTTGTCATCGTGGCCACGTAAAGATGAAATGACACGTTTGAATTCATCACTGATGTCAAGTTTGTGGGGATCAAATAGAAGGAGAATCATATCACATTTTGCAGCAAACCAAGATATGACACCTGTGAAATCATAGCTTCTTTGAGTCCGTTGCTTTTCACCAGATAAAACTCCAGGAGTGTCCACGAATGTAATATGTTCAAGCAACTGCAGGTCAATGAAACCAACTTGAATATTTAAATGACTTCGATAAACCATGATATACTACTATGCCTCAAGATCACAACTCACTGGATGTGGCATTTGAGAACACTCAAATTTTGACAAAAAGGAACCACCAAAAGTTGTCAAACCAGTAAATGGCATGTCTGCATGGACAGCAATAGTGTTGCCTGGAATGCTCCTTCCATCAGGTCCAGACTAAGAGGAAAGATCAGGAAACATTCAATGAGTATCAGCAGAAGAGAAAAGTTGGCTGCATAGTAGAGACGCTTGTTATAATATGCCTCCAAGGAATACAGAGCTAGAGTTCATAATTTCTCATATTATATTTAGGCTCCGTTTGGTAGGGATTTTTTGCCCCAAAAAATTGATTTTTTGACCGTTATTTTACTATTCAAGCCATAATTTTTTACTTCTTCTC